CTAAAAAGTTTACAATCAAAGTTTAAAAGGGTAATGGGTCGCCAGTTTTTTTAGGTCTCTTTTGTCTTTGTCTTTATATAAAAGTATAACTATTCCTGTTCTAAAACTATCTGGGAGTGTGTCGAGTTTATTAAAATTGATAAAAACAGCAATTAAATCTGGTGCTAAAATGTCCTAAAATGTTAAATAAAATTCTAAAGGGAGTCCATCGGAGCCAGGAGATTTCCCTCTTTTAAAACTCTTCAGTGAATTAAAAAGCTCCAAAAGAGTAAAATCCTGCTCTAAAAAACTAGTTTCTTTTAAAACATTTTCAAGAAAATCTAGAGTTTCGTTTATCTGCTCTTTACTGACTACTTTTCCTGTATATAATTTACTGTAAAACTTTTCAATCACTGTTTTCTTTTCTTCTATATTTGACACTATGTCTCCATTTTCTGACTTTAATTCGGACATGAAACTTGGATTATTTATTATTTTCTTGAAAAAGAATCTAGTACATTTTTCACCTTCTTCTATTTCTCTTTCCCTACTTCTTAAAATTACTCCCTTACTTTTTATTTCTGCTAAAATACTCATTTCTTTCTTTACTTCTCTTATTTCTTTATTAAAATCCATTCCCTGTTGGTTTAAAAAGTGATATCTCTGTAAACGTTTCTGCAACCCCTTCATGCATCTCTGTTCTTTTTTCTTTTTCTTTTTTCCTGCTTGTCTAAAGAAGGTCTGGGTCCTACCTTTCACCATCTCCCACCACTGTGCTCGTGTTTCGTACAGGTCTTGGAGGGTCTACCACTCGCTGTGCTGGCTGACCAGAGCCTGGTCCTCCAGCAGGGAGCGGTTGAGCTTCCACAGACAGATACTACACTTGATCTTAGCCAAAAGGCCGAGAAGCGATACCACACAACTGTCAGAGGAGACCRCCTCATCCTCCTCACTGACGTTCTGACTCACGGTTCACAAATTAAACTTTACATTTCATAAATAATCATTACATTTAATTTTTACTTTACTTAACTCAACACAGCTGAGGGCTTCTGCATGCTCCATCCAAACTATTGAAATCAGCTCTTATTGTTGCAGTTTCATGACAAAAATCACTTCATTCTGTTCACAGCTTTGAATCTGCTGCCCCTTCTAGTAACAACCTGCCAGCAGAACTTTTAACCCCCTCTACATAAGAACTGACTATGTGATTGGTCAGAAGTTTGTGGTCGTGTTTGTTTATGTTGAAAGCCCTCAAACACTTTTAAGTGCTTTAAACAATAGCTTAAAAAAAAACATTTAAGTTGAGACAGCAGTATTTTATTCGTCTCCCTTTTGCTACCTGTGCTTAACATTGTGGAACTCATGTGAATCAAAGAGCAAAATGTGTTTTAAGGAGTGAAAATAGGTCTGCAAGTTATATCTAACTGGGTGARATGTGCTTAGTTTTCTGACAAAAGGGTGGCATCTTTAATAAAATGTGCAGAGAAATGATAATTTAGTTCTCTCAGCAGAGATTAGAGATTTGACAACTGAGAAATACAATCATTACATCAGAAAGTAACTGATGCTGTAAGCATAGAACTAGAAAGTAACACAATGCTGCACTAGTAGACACTCACAGTGTTGATTATCTTTGACAAGTGATCAGGGGAGAGCGCGAACGCAGTCCCCCACTACCAGAAATTATGCAGTCGAGATTCCCACATTTGGGGAATTCGCATAGGTCAGCACA